GGAAAGCTTAGCTACAGTGACTGAGAGAGAACACTTCAGAAGCATAGTTTTTACAGGAGAACATGCATTAGCTCATCAGTACAGCGTTTTGTAGTTAGTTTAAGGTACGTTCTGTGTCCCTATCTATCCTAAGATTGTTTGACTGTTCACTTTGCATTTACTTATCAACCATAAGTTAAATAAAACACTTAATCCTTTATTATTTCTTGCCCTGTCGTTAGCTTCAGGTTTCAAATGTTAACAAGAAATTCCATTACTCACAGAAGCATAAATAGCTTGTAAATCAATACATGAGAAAATAAGTGTTACGATCAAGTAGTGATAAAGATCATGTTTTGCTTCTCTGAAGTACACTGAAGCATGTCCTCCCAAACTGTTTTTCAGTCATTCTATTGTTACAGTATGACACTGTCTTAAGTAATAAGTATCGAATGGGTAGCTTTATAATAATCGTGTCTTCAAAACTGAAGCAACTAGTATTAAATAATAGTGCTTCATTTATTCGCTTTTTTTTCCTCCCCACATTTAGGCCTTTCCCATATATTTTTGCAAGGCATTTCCAGCAATTGAGTTTTATTAGAAAAAGTGTTTCTAAAAAGTGATACATTTTATAACTTTTTTTTCTGTTGAGAATGATGACCTGATAAACAGAGGAATGAAGATCTGAGAGAGTGAAGATACATCATAATATTGTATCTCAAATACTGAGTAATAATTCTTGGTGCGGAAACCTGGGTAAATTGTGCTGGAAAATAAGCATTGCCATTCATCCTTGTGCCAAAATGGCATCTTGGAAGCACTGATTTATTGAACTATTTCCACAGTTGTAAAGGTGTATTATGAGCAACTTTTTCCTATTTCTTACAGAATTTGTGCACAAATAATCATTTTTCTTTATGCGAGACTTAAATTTCACCATTTACCATTTCACGGTTTACCATTTACCATTACACAGTTTCATCATTTAAAATAAGTAATTTTTGTCCTGGATTGTTTTGTGGTGGTATCCTATTCGATAAAGTATTTATATAGAGATCCCCAAATCCTTACTGTAACTTTACCCTAGAAACAGTCAAGCTAGTTGAAATGTGTTTCATGTGCCCTGAGCTGACTTTGCCCTGTGCTGTGATATTAAATATAAAATCTTTACCTGATCTGGTTAAACTTTGCTATGGCCTATTTTTATAGCAGTAATGCTGCAAGACACACAATCCAGGAAGGGAATTATGTAATTTCGTCGTATTTTCTTCTTTTTTTAAATCTAAGACAATCAAAGATATGTTCAAGACCATCTTTTAGCTGTAGTTTATACAGTTATTAATGTCTTGATCCTGCTGGGTACTAAACTTTCTTGCCTGGTCCATTAGCTGCTCTTAACTACTGAAGTCAACACAACTGTTCCTGTGCTTAAGTGCTTTGTTGAAACAGGGCCAGAGTACTCAGAAGCTTGTAAGATCAACACTCTCCATGGTAAGAGAAAGAAGCAGTCACAGGCCCTTCATAAGGAATCACTGTAGTTCTCTCTGTGAAGCATCATCTTTAGCAATTGGCTTAGATATGGGCAGAACAAGTTCTTTCAGTAATTTTCTTACTGAATAACTTCTTAGAAATTGCAATTTCATTATGATATTCTAATTGAAGGATGGTTGAAGATAGCAGGTTTGTGTATGGCAAGTTATCTTCCAAACATTGATAACAACTGCTTTCTTTTACTATATTTAATTCCAATGAGGAAATATATCAAAGATTGCTTGAAGAGCATCAATAACAGGATAACTTTGCAGAGATACTCATTTGGAATTAAGGGTTCCTTTTTTGGGGTGGAACATAAGAGGGAGAAAGTCACAACAAACATCTTTTCAGCATGATTTAGAACATCCCCAGATCAAGGCATTTCTAGCTAAGGTATTTGAGTATTTCATTCATTGAAGTTAGAAGCAAAAGAGCTAAGCATATGTGGAATTTTAAGAACGTGCTCATGTGATGTCTGAATGTTTTCTTAAGTCTAGGAACTCATCACATACTACAGAAAATTTACCTTAGAAATCATAGAAGAAATAATTAATATTACCTACTAATTTCTATGGGAGGATTAGTTGTATGCAACTGTCTGAAATGCTGTCTTGTTTAGGCAGGTGATGTCCATTTTGATAACTTTAAGTGATTTCTTAATGTGATTATTTATATCAGAATTGAAATGAAAGAATTGAGCAGTTTTTTTGCTGTGTGATAATCTTATTCTAGAAGGAATGGTAGAGCTTGCTAATTAAGCTGCTAGAGAGCAGTTCCAGTAAATGCTGGATATTCTGTATATATTAACTACTCAAATTATTTTTCAGAAGATGATACAGCTGTGTGTTAATACGTGTATTAACTTCAGCTGGACTTAATGCAGAACCATTAGCTGTGGTGATAGAAGCTGACATTCACCTAGGCTGCAGCGTAAACTGTTTATGTGATGCATGTTGTTGAGTTTGTAATGGACAGCTGGAAAGAAAAATCTTAATAAAATTAGAGTAGTAATCTCAAAGGAAAGAGAAAAGGAGGATAGGATAAGCTTTTGTTTCGCTTGTGCACACAAATCAGTTACCTAAGAACGAAACTCTAAAGCCATGATCTTTATAAGCAGTTTCATGAAACAAGTACATATTTTCATCTTATTTTTCGAAGTATCTTATGTGACCTATTAGATCATTCCATACATTTTGCCTCCTGCTCTAAGAAAAATTTCTAAATAATATAATAAGGTAATTTCTAAAGCAAGCTCATTATTTAATATGCATACTTCAAGCATGTATATACACTGAGTATTTCATGCCTCTAGCTCTACATAATAAAAAAGTCTCAATTTTCCTCATTTTTCACATTTTTTAAGAAGTCTCAAATAGGAGACTTATATTTCATTTTTTTCAACTCGAATTACTTAAGATGAGAAGTGAAGGAATTTTAATATTGAAAATAAAAATCTAGGAATGTGTCTTAATGAAGAGTTCTGGATAAACTTAGCTTTTGTTGTCATGATGAATTCCATTTTATGGCTGCTGTTGTACATATGTATGTGCATACAAAAATTAAATATTAAAATACAGAAAATCTTGATTTTTCAATATAGACTGTTATCAGAATATAAGATGTGAACAATATCAAATATAAGGTTCATTTCTTAGTTTTGTTTAAATAAACAAATACAAAATTATGGTTGTTAAAAACTTTCATCACACATTTACAGTCCACGTTGAGAGGGCAAGGAAGAGAGAAATATTTTTTTTTTTTAATTATTCCTGATTTTCTTGCTTTAATAAAGATGTTATCAGCTGTTTATGAGTAGGTTACTTAGGGTTTGCTAATGCAAGAGAGGAGAAATAGGAAGGAAGAACTGCAAGAGGGCACTGTCTTCTGAAAAGCTTATAGTTTATGCAAGAAATGAAGGTGGAGCTGTAGAATCCAAACAGATTTCCTCTCTGCCAGGAGCTGCAACTAACAGATATTTTGGACACATTTCTAGAAAAATGCATAGTAATTCTCTGGATGGCTGCTGAGATGTTGTAAGCTCTTGATTCTTGGGCTTTTGTAGCTTTACAAAGAGCAGAACAACTTACATGCAGATAGTTTAAAATAATAAGTTCTGATTATCAGCGAATATGCTATCAATAGCAGATTCATTGTGTGCTTGTGGCACAAACTGTACATTTTTAACATAGCAGGAGTAATATAGCAGAACATTGCTTTCAGGTCCCAGGAGAGGGGCACAAACAGGTGATAGGCAATAGAAACAGACTAACTCAGATGAAACCTGCTTCCAGATGTACTGTGAATTTGTGTTTTCATCAGAGAAGCATAACAAATGGGAAAGCCCAGCAACCAAGAGGCAAGTGAAAGCACATCCAATTATTTATTGCTTTTCAAATGGAAGGGAACAATCACAAAGCAGCAAGTTATTTCTTTAGGTATCTTTGAGAGAATATTGAGCTTCCAAAGAAAGTTAGCATACACATTGTATTGCTAACAGCTGATAAAAAAAAAAAAAAAAAAAAATCAATTTCAAGGGGGCTTCTCATCAGTCTTTTTACCAGAGTACCATCTGAGCTAGTTTCAGACACTGCTTGTTTTCTCTTCAATTTATAATTTTCCCCTTCTGCATCCCACTTACTTGTAGCAGTCTAATGCCAGAGCAGCTCTAAGGGCATCACAGATATTTGTTTTCACTCCTGAAATGCACAATCAGGCATTTGGTATTAGTGTCTATGTTATACCAAGTTAATTAATAGTAACAAGCATGTCATTTTGCATCTCCTATATAAAGACAAAGGAGAACCAGAAAAATGACGAGATGTATTGTCAGTATCTGGTAAGTTTTTCTTCTTTTGTCTAATTCTTAATTGCTCTTCTTTCACTTTCTTTTGCAATCAGTCTTGAGAAAAGCAACTGTAAAATACAGTGGCTACTTCTACAATTATTTGTAGGGACCTCAAAAAAATGAAGATCTGGAAATTGCTTGAAAGTTTATAGTACTGATACTTATGTAAGTTTTGTCCTTGATTTAAATGGCAACTAATTCCCTTTTCTGAAAGGGAAAATCTCAGAGGCTTGAAGACATTTTCACATACCTCCAGGCACACATTTCTCAAGTACTGCCAGTGAGCAGTGTTGCAACACTGACAATATAAACAGTGTCAAGCAATTGGTACAAGGTCAATCCCATCATATGCAGGATGCTTGGAAGAAACAGAATTGAGATTTTTTTTTAATGTTCATATCAGTAGATGCTTACATTTCTTAAAATGCCAATTCTGTTTTTAAAGTTATTCCTCTTAGCTGATGTATGACTTAAATTACAAATGTATAATAGTTCATTTTTGCTAATGAGTGCTTATGGACAAGTGAGGAACTAGTAGCCCTAGAATACTTAAACTCTATTTGTATCCAAACAAGCTTGAAAAAGTTGCAGTTGTGAAGCTGTAATTGTAATATGTCTTTTCCTCTTTTTTTGACCCCTTCAGGTATCAGCATGAATCAATTCCAAGTCCATTCATTACTGGAATCCTGTGCACACAATGACACCAAGGGACTTGAGAAAGTAACTGAGCTGACTTACGTAAGTCTTCATTCAGACTTCTACTTGACTCTGAATAGCTCCTAAGCTGCAAGAGAAAGGATAGTTCTGCAACAAAGCACAGTTTGGTTTATACTTTTTCTTACATAAGATAGAAATGGTTCTTCTGGAGTGGTTTTTGTGTTTCTTTGTTTGTTTTTTTAATCCAAGCTAGGCTAATATTTTTTTGTTGGTGATGGTGGTGCTGTTCAGAAGACTAGCAGGCAAACAGATTTAATATATACTTCTACAGCAGATAGAAGACAGCTGGTTTTATGATAAGAACTAGATGTCTGGAAAAGTACAAATACTGAAGAGTAATAATAGCAGTTATAAACTAGCATGGTTTTTTTAGACGCAAATATGGTTTTCAGAACTGAGAAGAACAATAGAATTAGAAAAATAATACAATAGTTGGAAAATACTAGACATTAAATCTGAAGGTTGGACACAGGTAAGGAGAAGAGCTCCATGTAAATGCATGTCAGGAAAAATACACATTGGGGGGGTATTCTTCATACTGAAATAAAACATAATTCATCCTTTCTTCTTAACTTTACCTGTACTATCAGATCAATTCAGTACAGTTAATGTCATATAAAACTAGAATAAATAAAAAGAAAATAATTCTCATGCAAGAGCCTGTTAGCTTGTAAGGTTTATTACCTCATGAAGTCAGTAAGGCAAATGTTAGAGTTGGATTAAAAAAATGATTGTGGTATAATGATATGAACAGTCTCAATATTTCAAGTTATAGTCAATGAACTTAGGAAAAAGTTTGTATTTAATAAGTTTATTTCCACTAGAAATCAGGAAAGATTACTTTTATATCTGGCTAAGTGCACTGTGGGATTAGTAAATTTATTTCTTTTCTATCATTTTACACCAATTTGTACAATTACTTTGTATAACTATGTGGGCTCATTCTTATTACAAGTGATCAGAAGACAAAGGGTTTGATAATCAATATGATAATTCAAGGCAGATAAAGAACTTAGGCTTCTGGTGCTGAGCATTTATGCTTTTGTCCAGGGTCCATGGACTTTCAAGTCAGACGATTTGCCATTTTTAGAATGCATTTTGAGATGTAGGTGAACATGAAGCCTCAGTAAGTCTAGTCAAAACCCCAATTGACTAGCAAGTATCTGCTTTAAAGATTGAATGAGAAACAATGGCTACAGAGGATAACCTGAAGTCTTGCATAAATGCACCAGCATCTTTAACAAATGTCAAATTGCAGTCATTTATAAAGCAATGGAACGTGTACTTTAGTTTAGTTTTGCTTTTTTGTTTGTTTGTTGTTTTCTTACAATAAAAGTAGAACCAACCCTGTTAGAATTATAGGGAGGAGTCAAACCTGTTAGAGTAGTAGGTAGGAAATAGGAAATGAAGTCCATTCTCAGCCCAATCTATGTCCCATTGAAAATGCCCTTCCACATGAAGTTTTGGCTAATGTAGTTTCGGATTAACTTCCAAAAAAAGTTGGTGTGAAGCAGAAAAATACTGGAGATTAATGATTCCAGAGAGAAAGAAAAATATAAAAGTCTGTCGAAGACCTGGGACGTTAGCCAAGAAAGTGTACATTTTCCCAGAAAAATGTACATTTTTCCAGAAAAAAGCACGCACACACACACATGCACACATACACACAAAACAACTTCTTTTCTTCATAGTTTGATTTGTGCTTAAGCTTTCAGATTGATTTTCAAACATACTTTATACAACGTTAAGAAGTTACCATGACAATTACACTTTGTGTAAAATTTTATTTTTCTATCATTGTCTTTAAAAGAATTTTGCTGTGTAATTCAGCTGTGGATTTTACCTTCCTGATAAGAAGACAGAAGTGGTAAACATACTAAAGAGGAAAATAATTGATTCATAGTACCATGCTGGACTTCAAGTGCATTAAAAAAGCTAAATGTAGACAAAGCCTGCCATTTACAGCAATTTACTTCATCTTTTTAACAATTATTTAATTCAATTAGTATTTACATCCTCACATTGCTACCTCATTGCCACTGTGTAGGAGACTGTTCTAACTATTCTAAGTTAGATGCATTCGTATAGCATGGTGAAGGAGCTGTGTAGAAAGGATGGACCTTTCTGAATGCCATGCTAATGTATTTTACTATTTTACAATTGAAAATAATTATAATGTAAGTAATGTTTGCTTTGTTCTTTGAGAAAAGCTATGTTGGAGTGTGTTAATTGTGTCAGTAAAATATTTTATTGGAGAAAACTTTTCATCATCTGTCAAACTCATTTTTCAATTATTTTTCTATTTTTTTTTTCCCCTAGGGATCTGTTTGCATCATGTTCTCTTTTGCTTTTCTTTTTCTAGGAAAACTACATGATTCTGAAGGACCTGTCATTTTCATGCAGATATAAAGTAACTGTTTTACCTGCAAAATCTAAAAGTCGTTTTAAGGCTGAGAGTATTTTCTTTGTCACCCCACCTTGCACTGCATTTAAAGAAAAAACCCATAAGCACATTAACTGTGCTGCTGAAGAAGGTAAGACATGATCTGCAGAATTTGCCAAATAATTTCAAATGCACTTAAAATCACACACAAAAAAAAGTATGTAAAAGTAATTCTGCAATGGAATATGAAAGATTCAGAACAACAAAAAAAGATGACTAATGCTTACACAAAAAGTCAAGTAAAATACAGAGCAACATAGATTTTGTTACCATGTTGCTGCTGTGTTTATTAGGTTATAATTTTAGAGGGTTGTTTATAAACATATGATGACATTTTGTAGTACAGTTTTTGTTATGTAAGGAGCGAAACCTTCCCATATGTTATATATTCACCATAATGATGCATGATAACTGTTACTTCAGTTCTGTTAATAACTGTTAATTCAATTCAATGGCATGATCCATCTTTTGAATGTTCTAGTACTCAGCTCAAAATCTGCTTTTTCAGTTTGATTTAGTTTTGGTTAATACTTCTGTAATGTAGCAAAAAGAGACAATCATACCTTTGGCAGTGTTGCCACAATCCAAGGTATAGCTGAAAGATTATTTGAAATCACAGAGTGATGGAGAAAGACTTATACGATCTGAAGAGAAACCAGTGCTTTGGCAGGGGAGTTGGACTCGATGATCTCTGGAGGTCCCTTCCAACCCCTACAATTCTGTGATTCAATTCTCTGATTCAATTCTGAGAAATTTTTTGGAAGGGATTTCTGATATCAGCTAATCCAGCCACCTACTCGAAGCAGGTGAAGTCAGCCATAGCTTTGAGTAGCCAAGTCTGGACATGTCTACAGCAAGAGAGTGGCACTCTCACTTTGAATTATTACTGCCCCCCACTGCTCTGTGGCTCACCTCAGAATCCTGCTGTCAGTGGCCACAATTTCCTGCCCACTTCGCTTGAAAAATTCCAACATTATAATTTTCTTTCTGGACAACTGCAGCTCAGGCATAAGTTTCACCTAGCCAAAGTGTGCCTGTTAACTTGTAGTACAGTTTTATAGCATTAATTTTACTTTTTGCCTACATAATGGAGCTCTGTGATATGTTATGGGTTTTCTTTTCATCTCAGAAATCAGCTCAGATATTCTGAAATACAGAGAACTGCCAGGATGGTTGCCAATCAATGAAGCATTTATAATTTTACATGGCATATATTTTCTTGCCTGTCACCTGTGGCTGACAGAATTTGATTTGAAGTTTGAACTTGACCCAGAATGCTGATGGAATATGTCAAAGATAGGTTTTTTGCTAACACCTGAAAATGCAATGACAGAACCGTGTAAAGATCCTGAGTAATACAAAAAAAGAGCTCTGTCTGACCTCAATTTGTGAAATTAAATGAATATTATTGACCACTACTTCTCGAAGTTTAGCTTATCTTTTTGCTTTCCAAATTTATAGTGCCAGTTCTACCCAAAGTGTTGGCCAAACCCGAGAATCTATCTGCGTCTTTCATTGTTCAGGAAGGTAACATCACCGGTCATTTTTCCTGGAAGATATCTAAGACAGTCCTTCACCAGCCTATGACAGGATTTCAAGTCACATGGGCAGAAGTAACCACAGAAAGCCGGCAAAATAGCTTGCCCAATAGCATCATTTCACAGTCACAGATACTGCCAGCAGTAAGTTGCTCATTCATTTCCTTTTCTAGTGGCTTCATAACTGTGTGTATATGTGGCGTATTTTTATTTTTTTTAGTGGTAATGAAGATGTCACACATAGCATTTTCCTTCTCTGCAGGCATGTTGGAGCAGGAGATGCCTTAATTTTGTCCTTAGAAATACAAAGCACAGCTACTCTTCTCAATTGCACATCAAAAATTTTAATGTGTACAATTGTCAAATCAGAAACTATTATCTGAGAAATGCCCAAAGGGAGGAAAAGATCATCTGCATGGCAGTAGATAGTTTTTGTTTTCTTCTGGTGATCAGGCTATTCAACTTGGTTATTACTGTAGTTTTACTAATTACTTGGTGTCCAAGTCAATAAATTTCATGGATTAAGTATTGTTTTTTTCCTTTGAGTTTCTCATTTCTCTAAGAAAAATAAAAATCATTTCCCTTCTGTGAATACTTGCTGTTATCCAACAATTTGAAGGAGAACTAGAATTCACTGTTTGTTGAAAGTGTCACAACAATTCATTTGAATTCTTCCTCCTTTTAGCTTTAAAATGGTCTTTGTTATTTCAGTTCCTCCTCTGGCAGAAGCAAGTGAACAGCACTTCTTTCAGACTGCATTACCAGATCCACCAGGGTCGACAAAAGAATTTAGGCAGCTGGCCTTGATCCAAAGTCTCCTAACAGTGCTAGGAGTCTTTCTGTGCACTTCAGCAACGTGATAGATCAAGGCAAATGTGTCACAAGCAGAATTGCCTGAAAGTCTTTTCACAACATTTGTTTCATCAAAGAATGAATAAAATGTTGTGTTGAACACATCCTACATTCAACACATTTTCTGAAGTCCAAAACAAGATTCCCACAGTTTTATCGTCTTGCAGACTGCCCTAAGGCTATGGCGAAATTTCAAAGCCAGTTTTCAAGCAGAGTAACAAAGAGTAACAAAGTTGACCACAGATGCTCCAAAACTATGTAGCAAGCTGCTACGCACTCTGCAGAGCTGTCTTCTGCCACGGTTGTGCAGTCGTAATGAGATCCACATCAGTTCATTGAGAGCTCAATCAACATCTGAAGCAGAGGCACAAAGAATATATATCCTTGATCTCTTCAGCAGGATATGTTGCAGGATTATCTTGAAGAGGTTACTTCTTCACAGACGTTAGAATGCAGACCACAACCTTAGTGAAGTTACAGGCCATAGGATGTTATTCTTCATTTAAAATTTCTTTTGTTTTGCATATGGTTTATTCATTATTACTATTTCATTTTTAAGCATTTGCTTCTGTTAGGTCTGGGATATATATTATGTTTTATTTAAACATTCCTTTACATTGTGTTTTAATTGCTTATCTTTGTTTTTTCTCTGATTTTGTTACTGTAGAGTCTGGAGATTTCATATGTTTAATTATTTAACACCATATGTATCCATCTATTCATGGCGCCTGGTTAACTTGCACAAAACATTTGCTTCAGTTGAAATAGTATCTCCTCCCTCTCAGACACCACCACAGTGTAGGGTATTTCATGGTGAGGATCATTCATTCATTCTTGTTGGCCATCTGTAATTGTTAAAAGTTTTGTAATTGTGCATCCACGGCTGAAATGCACATGTTCAGGGAGCATCTAAAAGAGCAAAGTGAGTGTATGAATGTGACGTAGGCATTTATCTCTCTTTTCACTGAGTATTTTATATGCAATGGAAGAGCTTCAGCAAGGGTTTTTGAGAGTAGCTGCATCTGAGTATTATCAGTATACTGATTTGGCATAAAGCTCTACTTTTACCTCTGCCTTTCCCCTTAGATTTCTGAACTGCCAGGAATAGCAACTTACCAGTTTTCTCACAGCCCCCTTTTGTCCCTCTACTGTGTGCTTGAGATAAGATCTTCCAGAACAATTTGCCATGCAAATTCTGTCTGATTGAATGAGCATACTCTGTGTGCACTGTCCAGTATCTCTGTCCCACTGTCCTGTCCCAGGAACTGGACTACATGATGCTTTTTCACTACTTTTTAGGTTGAAATAAGGTGAATTGGAACTTCAATTCCTGAATGTCCTCCTTAGTCAGATGGTTTTCTATTTAGGAGCATTTATAAAGTTACTCCAAAAGTTTTTAGCCCAAGTGTGAGTGACCAGAGATACAGAGCAATTAAAAGTAAGGGGAATATAGATATTTCATATGCCAGAAATGGGAATAGAAGAGCTGATCTTTATGTGTAATCTGGGTCAAACTTGCTGAAAACAGTTAGCCACGCTGCCAGCTCCAACAGGGGCCCTAGCCCTGAAAATTGTCTTGTTTTATTTTCCCATTCAGTAGAATTTACAGAAAAATGTAAAATAAAAACAATTGCATTTAATGAACTTTTTTTATTAAAAAAGAATATGTAGTACATATGCTAAATCCTTTTCACAGATTTCTTAAAAAATAATTTGTGAGTGCTGAGAGTGATAGAACCTTGATTTGTGTGAGTAGAGCAACTATGCTTTATTTTTAGATTCTAAGAGAATTAATGTAATTTATTTATTAGGATCATTATGTACTCACCGTGCCCAATCTCAGGCCATCAATGCTATACCGACTGGAAGTTCAAGTATTGACAACTGGTGGGGAAGGACCAGCTACTATAAGATTGTTCCGAACACCTGATCTTCCTCCATTTTTACCCCACAGTAAGTAGTGTTTTGGCATGTGGTTATGTGTTTAAAACCTTCTACACAAATAAACAGGTTGCTTAAGTCTTAGAATCTTTATTAGCTCTAGTAGAAGTCCGTAAACATAACATGCATGACAGTATTGCTTTTTTTCTCTGTTATTGTCCATCAGCATTGATGTAATCAAATACAGCCTTTCTCTTACTCATTTGCTATGACCTTACATTTATCACTGCATTCCATTGCAGCTCTTTGGTTTATGCCTATAGTATCTAGGATTCAGAGCTGGTCTCTCCTACAAATACTACCTAGACATGGGATTGCTTAGGTTAGACTGTTTGAGAGTCTGTTATATCTATTACCTGACCATATTTCTAAAGCTGTGCAAACTTCTTAATAGTTTTAGTAGCTTCAATCATTTTATTACTTTTGGAAAAGAACAAGTCAGTATTATGAAGCCCAGCAAAATTTACAGTCCATAATTAATCTGCTTGAATCCTTTTGTCCTTTTTCAGTCCCACTGAAGATGTCTGGACTCAATATGTGTATAATTGCCAGCACAGACATTTCACTTACAAGCTGAAGGCTTGCAAGCTGAAGGGCTCAAGAAGTGTTCACAGTAAAATCTGATAAATGATTGTATTACGTATTCAGGCTTTCATATCTGAATACTCTTCTATTCTTTTGTTTAGGACCTCATCTGAAACAACATCATCCTCACCACTACAAGCCACCCCCAGAAAAGTATTAAACTGTTTAAGATGATTATACAAATAACTGAGAGAAAAACTGAGCTCCCAAATGGAGGCTAGAAAAAGGCACATCTATAGAAGCAAAGAATCCAGTTTTCCAGTGGAAGTTACCATGCTGTACAATCTGTTTCTACTCTTGTGTAGTTTAGTCATGAAGAATTTTATTTCTACCAAGGCCAGGATGAAGCATCCAAGAAGTACCATTTCAGTACCACCATTATTCAACAAATTGAAGAATGCATTAAACTCAACATGTTGGAGAAAATCAAATGTGTTGATTATGTTTTTGTATTTTGTGTTTAAAGTAGATTGGAACAGTGAAGTGTGTACAGTTATTTCTCTTAGTGGCTTCAATGTTATTATGTGAGAGGTTTTCCTGTGATGTACACATACTTTTGAACACTTAGAGGCCATGTTGTCGTCAATATGTTTAAATGATGTATTTTACTTAAAGCTCTGCCTTTCAACAGTTTAAACCCTAGTGTATTTTGCTCTTGAAGAAAATACCTATTTGTCTGAAATAAACGTATAAGTAAACTAGGTACCAGAACCAGAATCCCTTAAATAAGCAAGATTTAATAACTGCAGCATCACTGCAGTAGAGAATGATGGTACATGTGCATAATCAACCATCTCTTCTGAAGTAACATTTCTGCATGTAGATCTTATATTAATAGAGTTAACGGTCATGTAAAATGTTGATACTCCATTCACTGTAAAGAAGTAAATGACAGTTAATACAATTGTTTTCAATTAATGATGATTAACACAATTTATTTATAGATCCTAGAAAAATTATCTCTACGATGTTGGTTGTTATCTTGAAAAGAAATTCTAATTTTTTATCTAAAACTTGAACAGTTAACATTTTAAAAATGAAAATTATGAGGCACATTTATTATTCAAGTAGTTGTAGAGCTACTTCTTAGCTTCTCTGTCTTTTGATGCACAAATCTCTATTCCCCATGGATCTTTTGAACAGAAAGAAGGATGTATTGGCTCCATGAAGAAGAAATACATGTCTGAAAAATGAGGATAACAATTACGCTTCTTACAGTAGAGCCTTCAAAAAACAATCATACATAGTTTGTCAATACCGTAATGTATAATTTTGGGTGCATATGGGGTAATACCACAGGGAGAGAAAGAAACTGAATTAATTTCTGACAGTTTTTTCATTCCAGTTTTTCTGCATTTCTGTATTTGCTATTGAAGTACTCTTTTTTCCTTGTTCTCTTTCTATTTTCCCTGATGTCTTTTTTAATATGCAATGAATGACCAAGAACTTTTCCAGATAATTTCTATTGCTACATCCTTTGGGAATTTGACAGTTGATTCAAAAATATTAAATGCTGAGTTGCTTTTATTTGCTTCCTCTGCCACTCTGTCACCTCCTTTCTTTCAAAATATATTAACAAGTTAACAGATAAATTCTTAATCAAATCTGTAGGGTAGTAGGTTTGTTTTCAATTTTGAAAGAAAGCCAATGTCTCAGATTTTTTGAGGGGTAAAAATGTTTGATGTGTACTGTTCAAAGAAAAAAAAAATAAATTGAACTTGTGTGCAGCATTGCTTTGACATTTAAGTTGTGCAGGGCGTAAAGTATGGATAGAAGGGATATCTGTGATGTTAACTGAGAATAGTTTTAAGTGGGATCAGGGTAATACTTTGGACTTCTTTGAAAACCTTTGTCGAAATCTTTACATCGGAATCTATTCCAGTTATGCTGGAGTCATTCTGTAGTGATTTGATTAATGTTAATGAAATTATGTTGTATTGATAGTATAATGTTGCATGGATGTTGGTTTTTATTACAATGATGCTAAACCTGGCTTGGAGATAAAGTGGAATTAGCAGCTCTGAGTGATCACGTCCTTAGTCTTAATTGCTGAATGGCAGCCTTGTTCTTCTGAGAGGAATCAGAATTGTTAGTGTTTGCTGATGTCTGTTTCTTTGAAACATTCAACTTTTAAAAGAAGTAACATACTTTTAAAAGAATATGGAGGCTGTTTCCATTAAAAAAAAACAACTCAGTTGATAAAGTAGAATTGGTTTAAGAGTTATACAAGATTCAATGAGAAGTAAATTTATTTTTTCTTCAACAAATTAATTTATCAACTCACCTTTCAAGTGATCCTCCAAATAAAAAATAAAAAATCAGTGAGGCTCATGCATAGATGCTAAATTCACAGCAATGAGTGCTTTCCTAATTATTCTTTGAATTTAGCAGTGCTGATTTAAAATTGCTAGTGCCTAATTCATAAAGCCTTGTTTGCTGAATTGTACAGGTTATTGTCCTAACTTACATTAGATCACATTAAACATTTAATTCAGTAATAGACTTGTAATTCACTGCTTCATTCATTAGTCAAAGATTTATTTTCTCTAATGATGTTGTATAATACAGATATTGGGATGCTTTTAGGTACTCTGCATCTTTACACTAACATATTGTTTCTTATGTACGATTCCAGTGAATCCAATGGATTTGTCCATTGGCTTCGTGATGCATTTTGTTTATCCGTATTTCTGAAAGAATTATTGTATGCCATTTTTGCTATCTGCTTTGTGACTTTTTATTTGTTCACTGGGGATTTTTGTTTGAGAAGACAACAGTATGTTCTGATTATATCTTTTTAGTTGTTTATAGAGGAGAGGAAAATCAAGTGAGGCAGAACTTGTGCTGTACTACTATGTGTAAGATCTTGAGTGTTCATTAAGAATTCTGCACGTGAAGAATAAATAAGAGGTCTGACTTCTGAAATGTTTGGCATCTTCAACTTAGTGGCTTCAGAAAGAGCTGAGGTGTGGCAGTGCTAACATTGACATTAATGTTTGGCACAGTCACAAACAAAATCAAAGAAATAGTCTTTGCTAACGTGAATGGGAATGTTATCATTTATATTAGCAGAAACGTATAGAAACCTAAATACTGAATAAATCTCTTTGACAATAATTTCATCCCTGTACTTCCTACAGAAGTCATGCAGTTTCAGATAAGCAGGCCCTGATTCAGGGAGGTGCACAGAAAAGAAAACTTTGATATGCACAGAAGTCAGTGGGTCAGAAGTATACTGCAACATCATAGAAATTTTTATTTTTGTGTGTATATGTAAATGTAGTTGTGATATTAACTTATTTATTAATTCATTTTCTTATGCTATGTGCCAGGTATATTCCTACCCTTTTGATCAGTATCTGTGAACATCAATGACTAAAAATATTGTTATGCAAACTTGTGCATTGTAACCAGGAATATGATGCTAATAAGCTGTTGCATGTAGTTTTAAATAATTAAGAAAACCCTTTATTTAAAAAATTGTAAATGAATACCTGCAGATGTTAATGATTATATATGGTTTTGCATGCCAAAACTCATTGTTCAGTTGTGGGCATGAAATGTAACGACTGTATTACCTCTACTGAATATATTACTAAGGTACAATTTACAAAGTTATTAACAGAGCTCTATATGTAAAATTTTTTCCTTTTTACTTAATTATATTTTAGTAGAGGTAACAGAACTGTTCATCTGTTACCCAAATTGGCTGTAGAAATTACGTTCCTATAACAGTCATTTATAGTCAGTATTTATTTATGTATGTAATACAAAACAATGGGTCTTATGAGTCTGTCCTTTTATTTAGAGAAAGAAAAATGCTTCTTGTAAAAACAATTTGTAAAAAAAAAGAAAAAAAGAAAAAAAAGAAAAGAAAATTAAATGTAAATAGAGTCTGATTTCTTTCATGCATTATTTTCATGTTTAGAGTTTGTACATACTGTTTAGTTAATAAACTATCCTACACTGAAGTCTTGCTACATTGTCTCCTCTGTACAGGTCTTGGACTGTTTCCCTTTTTTTTATTTATTACGGAGATACAGAGTCATCTATTAAAAATCATACTACCATTGGTACATCTACATTTCACTGTACATGAAGTCACAATATTTTATATTCCCTGTTTGCTACTATATTTTTTTTTCTTTAGAAAGTTATAACTTAGGTATAATTTGAGATTTTTATGTTGAAAAGTAATTATTGAAATAAAGAAACAGACACAAGACACAATCAAACACCTACAGTTGCTCTGTTTTAATGGACTCGTCCACAGTGAATTTTTCTTCAACCTTTGTGATACTGTCTTAAAATAACTAAAATGTTGCTAGATCAGTGCCAGTGGCCTGGGCCTGCAAGTCAAGATTTCCATAATTCAAAATCATGGTGAAATCGGTGCATACTCCAGATTTTCTATTTAACAACACATTATCTCTTGATTTATATTATATATTTTTAATGAATGAAAATGTGTGTCTTACTACACATTTAAGTGTTTCAAATAGTCACAGATCTGCTGTCATTCTCAGATGTGATTTTTTTGGTGATTAATATTTCCAAATATTGCTTTCTCACTAGAAGAACTGTTTTGGTTTTTTGTTGTTGAATAGTGCTTTGAAAACTCCTTATATTTAAATTTCTCTTCAACTAGGATTATTCCCATGACATCTGCCATTATGGCACAGTAAACCTTCACAGGAGTTATCAGTACGTAGGTCAGATGTGATGATAGGTAGATGAAGTGTTTTGTATACTGTAATTCCAAATATCCACTTTTGTTTTTCCTTCCATAGCTTCATGTGAATATTCTATTCAACACTGACTTAGGAGAGACAATGACTGCCTGATATCAATCATATTAAATAAAGCAAATTTGGTATATATTGGGCAGTAATGATCCTTTTATTTTGGAGTTTTGTGTCTTGTGTTTCAATGCAACTTTGCTATTTTGCATCTAAAACCAGAACATGCTCCATCATCCAAAAAGTCCATTTATGGAAAAAGATTATACAATGAAAGCTCTTCACGGTACAAAAATAAATAAATAAATCCCTTGTTCTTCTGTTTTCTTATTACAGGTGTTGTATTGTCGTCATATGGATATATGCCAGCCTCCTTGAGGAAGGCCTTGAGCCAAAACACTGTCTGTTAGCCTGCCAGCAACATTGCAGCACCTGTCAGGGTGAAAGAAAGCACTGGGGAGAACATTGAGAGCTTGGCTTTGAAATACAGCCAGTGCAGGCTTGAAGGGTTCAACATAAGCAAATAGCTCTGTCCTCCTCTGGATTGTGCATAATATCTTTTCTGCTTCTCCTGAAGGCGCTGGTTGGAGTAGAGATTAATATTTAATAAACGCCTTGCTGTAAGCATTTACTGAGTGCTGTGTGGCTCATAAACTGAAGAATTTATGAATGCTAGTTCTACCCACTTCATCACCTGGGACAGTGATTAATTCACATTATTTAATAATAAGCTTCAAAGGAGATGTCTTTCTTCTCAAAAGAAGATCAATTTGAGAATTACTAGATTGCCATTTTTTTAAGAGAGTTGGGCAAACACGTTGAACACAAGTATCCCTTTCTATTTGTGTGCAAAGATATTTGTACCTCAAATAGAACTTGCTTGTCTTTTTCACAAACTGTCCAGTCACTTATTTGTAACAGGTTCAAATTTGTCAATGTTTAACTCCAGATTTGATGGTTAGTATGGTTAGTACTGATCAGCCAACCCGACACATTTTTCACACTTTTATAATTTTATTATTGCCTGATTTAAACAGTTCAGACTGCATAACTGTTACTAGATGTAGAGTGATGAGCTGTAATTTCCACTCTGTCACTTCTACCTAAGTGAGAGGTGGAAGAGGTGATCATCAATCCTCCTCCTTCCCACACTCCATCGCTTCCCACCTCCAAAAAAAAAAAAGAATCTAAAATGATCTTGTATATTTGCTCCTTTGCAGATGTCCAATTTTCAGTATTATCAGTTATCTACAAGCACTCAAAAAAATCTTTTAAATTTACTTTCCAAGATGAGCTGCAATGCTAGCTTGAAATATTTATATTTCAGATTTTCAGAAAGCACATCTGCACACCAATATCAATTAGGCTGTAACTCATAAGACTGGAATATACAAGAAAAAAAGAAAGAAAGGGAAAAAAACAAAAACCAACAAGTCACCAGCAGTAAAACAAAGCTTGTGGGTTGATGCTCATAGAACCCTCAGGGACAACTGTGCTTTTTGTTTGATGTTCATTGAATCATACTGAAGACAATCCACATTCATTCTCCTTGCTTTGACTGGAATCCAGAGATTTTTCTAATATCACAAAAGATGCAATTTAATGGCTGATGAGTGGCTGAATTGCTAGGTATACACAGTAGCTTAGAAGTCTAATGATGCACCAGAGAATGCTTCTGTGTTTTTCCACTTATCTGAGGACTGTATCAGTTTCTCACATTTTTTTATTTCAGTATCTTTTGGGGGGAGGGGGAAGGAGTATTATAAGGGATCACTGTTTATTTCTTTTGTTGTATGTTCGTTTTAAGAACGTATCTCATTTATTTACTTTGGTTGTAGAGGTTATATTTGTAGCATGTTTCTCTTCACTGTACATTGCTATGAAGGTTGAGGTTTGTGATATTTTTTCAATAAATAAAATCATTGAAATAATATATGTAATCGTATTTAAAGATGATTTCAATAAAGTGACCCTTGTCAACAAAGTAATGCTATTTTTAGATATAAAATGTATCTGTATCTCATTTAAATTACTATCTACATCATATACTTATGGAGAAACTGTATTTTAATGTCTATTTAAATAAAAGACATGCTAGCCCAGGAAATGGTAGCTATCAAACAAGCAAGTTCAATTGATAGATATCAATCAAGTTTGCTGATTAATGCTGCTAAGACAATAAATTATTTTCAAGTTAGCTAAATACATCACTTCCAATTAATCTGGAAAACAGGAATTGTAGATGAATTCCAGAGGCATAGAGAGTGATACAGAAGAAACAGCATGAACTTCTGAGCCTGGATAATATCAAAAAGTACAAAGCTGACAAAGCTGAAATTCTTCTCCTCCCCTAAGAGTGTACTGATTACCTTAAAAGCATAAGATGATACCACATGTTCTGTCTAACAATCACGGAGGTGGTTTTGTAAACTTCATAAAGTACATGGAACTAATAACAAGAAAAATCATCCCTTTATTTCATTAAGTTTACAACATATTTAATATCGTTGATATCACTCACCAACAAACTTGCATGGAAAATGTAGTTCAATTGGGTGAACACTTCAGCTTGGGATTCTCTCGCTTCCTGAAATTCAACCTTTGACTGAAAAAATATTCGTTTTTGGAAACAGTATATACTGGTATTGGGAAGCAATTAAGAGAATCATATAGTCAGTGCTTTTGGTAGTTATTCTCAGAATTTGTCTAGGGAATTTTTTCTCCTATCTCAGCTAATCTCAAAATCTCCAGAATAATTTATTACGTTCTATATCATTCACAGAAGACAAGTTGCTTAGGGCTTTGTCCTGTCATGTTTTGAATATTACCAAAGATGGAGATCCCCTCTTACTAATTACACGTGAAATAACAGTGATGCAAATAGTGACGTCTTAATTTTCAAGGAAATGGCACTTGGAGAACCACATCATAAACAATTCTGTTTGAAAGAAGAAAAAAAAAAGGGGAAATATTCTTTTGAAAAACAATAATAAAGCTGCTTTTGTTCTCAGTAGATTTGTGATGAAGCCCTGGGAAATTCAAAGCCTGCAGAAAATGAAACCAACAGCTTCTTATCTATTTCATGTTGTCAGACATCAGTTACTTCAGAAATCTTTAGAAGCAAAGTTAATTAGCCAGATTTGTAGAGAATTCACCCTGATTACTTAGCTTATGAAATGGACTTAAGTGTTAATTTACTATATTAACATCAAATAATTTGTTACTGACAATGGCTATGGTCCATTTATTTTATTTATTTTATTCTTGATGTGGTGTGGGTTGGTGCCTTGAATCCTCTGTTCAGCTACCACTTCACCTCTAGGAGAGTACAAGCTTTGAGACTTCCAGGGACTGTGAAATGACTGAGCTAAGCCGACCAGCTGTTGTGGCTTTGGCAGAACATGGCTGGCACCTGACTGGCTCTGCCGGTGCCACAGGTATTGAAACCCCTGTGACTGGAGAGGGCAGATGGAGAAGAAACCATCATCTGGATGTCTGAAGAAATAAAGGAGTGTGTTCAGTTCATGTGCTTTGGAAAGTCCCCTTTCCCATCACAGAAGCGTAAGGTGAACAGGAGGGAAAGGATTCAGCATGTAAATGTCTGCTTATCCTAAAAGGAAGGGCATATAGCTGACTGCATAAGCACAACATGAACAAAAGAAGGAGCAAATTGAGCAGGAGAGCCATGTTGGTCAGCAGATGCCCCTGCTATTGAAGCAAAATGATCCTGAGCTTCTGTGCCCACAGTGTTGGCAGAGAGGAGCAGCTCACACCTCCAATATGCTCCCTCTGAGGAGACTAGATGAGGGTGGACCAGCTGCAAAGACAACTGGTGCAAAGAGCTTCATGCTGAAATCCACCACAAACATACTTCCATTGAGATTTGGCTTGCTGAAGTCTCGTAGAAATACTTCAGTTTGCCTTGTTAGACCAGACATCTGCAGACACAGAATAGAAACTGAGACCTCAGCACAAAAAAACATCACCATAGCTGCACTGCTCTCTGGGACTAACACTGCCTGCTGCTCTGACTAGGCTTCAGTGTTTTTTTCTGGTACCAACTTTGCAGGTTGCAGCTCTTCCATGATGACGAGTGTCCAAAAAAAAATTTGAGACATGAGGTTTAGATTTGCGTGGTGGAAGCATACCCTGGAATCCCCTGGTCTTTTCCACCACTGTGGGGAACACATGAACTGCTGACTTTTTTTTCTATTGGACTGCTATGCACTTAG